TTTTATCCAAAAATATATACTTTGTGAGGTCTTGACTTTAAAAAATGAAGGAAAAGGTCAGTGAATCACAAGTAGATTATTGCTAGCTTTTGTCCAGTCGATCGAGGCAAAAATAGAGAGATAGAAAAATAGATAGAGGATATAGGGATAGAGTGTCTTTTTTTCTTATTTTTTAGCTAGCTAATGGCGCAGCAATGAGTGAGGAAAAACAAAAGTTGAGGCAAAAAGATTTATTAAATAAATTTTTAAGTAAAAATACTTTTGAAAATTTCATAAAAGAAGTAAACTTTTGATTTCTGATAAAATTAATTTTAAAAATTAATTTAAAAGTTTTATTTTCATAAATTCTTATAGCTAATAAGGGTTTGAATAGGGAAAAGCATTGATTTATTGACCCAGCCAACACTTAATAATATTGATTTAAAGCATTGAGTATAATAAAAGAATCAATTACACAAACTCAGACAATTTTAAAATTATTTTTTATTTTAATTTGTTGAGATAATAAGAGTGTTTAAAACCCTTTAATGAGTGTTTGAAATAAATTTTACTTTAATTACTCATTAATAAATATACCGTATTTGCTAAAATAATTACCCAGGGTAATTATTTTTTCAACCTCTCGCTGGAGGGGGTAATTAAAAGGGAGAGGGTAATTATTTGAGAGAGGGACATTATTTTTTCGACCTATAAAATTTTTATTTAATCATAAGCATATGAACAGGGATATACAATATGTTACCGAATTTGCAGATAAATATTAAATTTTCAAGATAGGTATTCTATATTCCCTTAATATTTTCATAAATAATGTACCCCAAGATGGTACAATAACAACAATGCTTCCTTCCTGGGATATATAAAGACACTGTGACATGTATACAAGTATGTATGATTCCTATTTAGAGAATATATCCTACATTCTCTAAAGATACTTATAATCTTCGGATAAAAAGCTTAAAAATTAGAAGGGTAATCTAGATAGAGTTCAGGAATTTTTTGGAGATGTAAGGTTGATATTAAAGGAGATATAATGGGACTTGGAGGGATTAATATGTATTTCAACGGTATCAACTAATTAATTGGATTTATTCGGGCAGTCAGGGATATAAGGATTCGTAGGAATACAGGAGCATTAAAGTGTATAATCTTAGATCCAATAGATCCATTCTAATAAAAAATCTCACCCAAATCCTTGTAATCTCTTAATTCTCGTAAATTCCACTATATTCTCTCCAAATACTTTTATTCTCTTGATTTATTTTTTATATTGATCCTTAAAATGGTCATTATTAAAATAATAATGGTTTTTAATAAATATTTTCAAAATTAGCTCAGGAAAAATTGGGGGTAATTATTTGAGAGAGGGTAATTATTTTTTCAACCTCTCGCTGGAGGGGGTAATTAATAGGGTAATTATTTGAGAGAGGGACATTATTTCAGCAAATACGCTAATCTGTTTCTGTTTTAGTTATCGTATTAGTAAATTAATTCTTTAAATTTAAAATGTTATCATTATTATTCTAAAATACAAAAAAATCTATTTATTTTCCAATTTATCGTATTTTCTCTAAAATAGCCCTCGGGGGCTATTTTTTATATCGACCTCTAGAGGGGGGCTATTTTGGAGAGGGGGCTATTTTAGTGAAAATACGGTAATTAATAATATATACAAAAATAAAAATTTATTTTATTTTAAGTCCATAAGTGTTTCTTTAAATTGTAGCATAAAAATACTGTTTATAAATTATATATGGCAATGATTTTAATATAATGTGAGATATTTGGAATTTAAACAGAATTTTGGTCATCGGTAATATCAAAGAAAGTTTGAGCTAAAATTTAAGAGAAAATTATTTTTAAATTAACAAATTATCTAACCATAATTAATACAAGGCAAAGCTTCGAGATAAGAATAACAATTACCATCATCTCCAATATAAGAACGAGAATGCCAATAACAATAATTATTAAAATACGGAATTAATTGTTGTTGTTGATGTTGGTCATTTAAAATATTATTTAAATTATTTTCATTATCAGAAAAAATAAATAATTGCTGTTGTTGTTGATTTTCTTGGAATAACGGAGTAAATTGGCTATTTAATGCTTAAATTAAATTTTTTATTTAAAACGTTTAGAGTAGAGTATCAACCCGACCTCTAAAGATTTTTTGGCAAAACCCCCGACCCGAACCCCGACATGCCTTCTTCGGTAAACTCCGATCCCCGACACACCCGCCCCGAAGGGTCGGGTTGCTACTCTACTTTAGAGTAACTCGAATTTTCTCATAATTCCTAGAGACTACCGAAATTTTTGTGGGAATCTTTAATTTAACTTAATTGTCTATTTGTATAATATATTCATTCAATTTTTTAATTAATATTAGAATTCAATACAAACATTGAGAATAATCTTCAATATAATTTAAATTATTATTTAATTCTGGGTAATTATTTAATAAATTATTTTCTTCTATAATTATTTCCTTCGGTATTTGAAGTAATTGTTGTTGTTGGTGTTGTTGTTCTGAGACAGGCGAAAATAAAACTAAATCATAATTTGAATTAAACAAAGTCGCGGAAAATTCGTTTTGTTGTTCTGTATTTAAATCATTATTATTTGAATTAATAAATTTATTGGAAGAACAAAAACTTTCATTATAAACCTTTAATAAAATAAAACTTTTTTAAATTTAATTCATTCAATTTAGGGTAGCACCCGAGCCTTCGAGGGCGGAAGTGTCGGATTTTGGGGTTTGCCGTGCTTGCCAAAAAATAGTTGGGGTTTCGCGGGCCGGATTGGAGTTTTGCCTGCACGGAGGTGGGCGTCGGGGATCGAATTTTATCGGGGTAGAGCCTTCTGGGTCCGGGTCGAGGTTTTTGCCTAAGAATTCGTCGGGGGCCGGGGTTTCGGAGGACGGGGTGCTACCCTACTTTAATTTATTGTTATTATGTTCGATTTTATTACTTATTTATACAATTTAATAATTTAAAATTAATATTTTATTATTTTACTAATTCCAGAAAAAAAATAAATTTTCTAAAAAAAGTTAAGTAGCACTTGAATTCACATAACATTTAACGTGTTATTTGATACTTATTCAAATAACAATAATAATAACTAAAAAATAATAGGATATATATTTTCGAGAAATAAAAGAGAAGGGGGGGGGAGGAATAAAAGTCTCTTCTTCTTCTCTTCATTTCCATTCATTTATTTATTTGAATCTTTTCAATATATAAATCCTTGCTAATGTTTTTGGCCAAATCTTCTGGTGATTGAATGCGAGAATTGTTGCACAACAAATTGAAAAGTATAGGAAGAAGAGAATATTTTAAGGACATAAAGTGTTTAGATATTTAAATATAAAAATTGAAAATATTAGGGTAAGTAAGAATATCGTATATATTCACCCTCCCTCAAATAATTACCCCTCCCCCTTCTCTCTATTAATTACCCCCTACAGAGTGAGGTTGAAACAATAATTACTCTTTTAAAAAGTTATAATTAGCCTTCCTAAAATAATCGTTATTAATTAACTCTATTAATTAAAGATAGAGAGGTGAAGTAAGGTAATTAAAAGAGTATATACGGAATGTGAGACAGATAAAAAATGGAGTTTTCTTAAGTTAATTATGAAAATGTTTGTAGCCAGCTCTAAATAGTGGTGAATTTGGAGCTATAAAGTGAAACAATAAATTGACTAGTCTAAGCAAATAATTTTAGTAAATTTAAATTAAATATAATCATTTAAATAATATCAAAAAAAATTTCATTTTTCTCTCAAACTTAATTTTATTAAACTTCTTTTTTTAAAATAAAAAGTTGCGAAAATAAATAAGTAATAAATCTAAAAACACAATAAATTTAATTCAATTCTTTCCAAAATGTTTGTTGTAATATTTAGCGGCAATCTGTTTTTTAATTAAAAAGTCCATCAAAAAATTGGGGGAAAAATAATTTATTTAGACAATTTATTTAAAAATTGGCTAGACTGGAAAATAAAAACTTTTTAAATAAATAAATATTTTTACATCCTTATTTTAATTAGAAATAAGCGGGTTAATCAAAAGAAAGAAAAAATATTTTAATCGAGTAATTTGAGAAGTAAAGGAGTGAAAAATAAAGTTTGCGGCAGATTTTGGTAAAAACAAAAAATTTGTTTAATGAATTTGGCAATTTAAGAAGAGAAAATCAACAAGATTTTTAATTTTAAAATTTAATTTATTTTAATTTTTATATTAAAATATTTTTATTTTTCACTTTTATTTTTAGCTATACCCCACAAAATAAATTAAAATAATTTTTAATTGAAATACCTCATCAACAGAATTATTATTGTTAATTAGATTAACATTTTGTTGTTGATCTTGTAATTCTTTATTTAATTCAATTTGTTTATTAAAAGATTCTGATTTGATTTTTGTTGTTTTTTGTTTAAAAGAGGAAATTAAATTTTTTTGTTTTTCTTCAATAAAAGATTTAAACTTTGGACTACATGTCCATAAATGTCCTTTAAAATGTTAATTTTACATAAAATATTTTTAGAGTAAATACCTTTCCCAATCTTTCCATGAGAATTTTTAGGTAATTTGCTAAAATATCCACCGAAAGATAAATTATGACGAATAGAATTTTGCCAGCCAATATATTTACCTCGAAAAAATTCATCTCTCTGACGTAAATATTCGTACTTAAATTTTTTATAAGAATAAAAATATATGTAGATATTAGGGTTGGGGGCCCGATCCGGCCCGGTCCGAAAGATTAAGTCGGGCATTGAATTTCGGCCCGAAAAAGACTCGGTCGGGCCGGCCCGAAAAAATTAAGCCGAAAAAGACTGGTAGGCCCGACTCGAAAACCCCAACCATACTTTTTACAGACAACCTAGTTTTTTTTGAGAGAGATGAATATACGGATATCTACCTAACTCTCATAAATTTATTCAGAAAATTTACAGAAAATTAATAAAGAGAAATTAATTAAATATTACAATACTATTTATTTAAAGAACTCACAATTTCCTCCAAAGTTGAACGTTTAGAATCCTGTAAATAATAGAAAATATTATTTTAAAATATAATTAAAATTATTTACCTTTTTTTCAATAGCCTCCCCAATTAATTCAATATAAGTATCTTTAGGTTTTTCTCCTCTAAATTCGCTATTTCGTTTAGATCCACGTCTACCTCTATTTGTTTTTTTCTTTGATTCCATTTTTGATGAATTTATTGGAAGACTAGGGGTTTCATTAAAATCTAAAATTCGATGAGATTGTTTAAAAATTTAGTTTTTTTTGGGATTTTCTTTAATTATTGAATAAAAGTAAGGCATAATAATTGATAATTTTTGATTTTTTCAAAATAAACTCCTCTCATCCGACAAATATAATTTTTTAAATTTAAATTAAAAATTCAATGAAAAACTTAAAAATTCATATTTCATCTGAAATTTCTAATTATTGTTTTTATTAACAATGAAAGACTGTCAAGAAATGATTATATTTAAGGATCTACTTATCCAAGTATATTTATATAAAATCAAAATTTAAAAATAAATTAAAAACCCTCAGTTTTTAGACTATTAATCGAATTATCTTCCATTATTGTTGTTGTGCTTGGTTGGTGTACTGTCTCTAGTAATTCAGAATATTTAAAAGGGGTTTCCTCAGAAATAAACAAATTTTCATATTTATTAGGAATAAAAGTTTTTTCTTCATAATCTTCGAGAAAAGCAAATTCTTTGGCATTTTCTTCATTATGAAAATATTTTTTGGGATTCTGTTGATTATCTTCTTTCTTAATTAAGGGTAAATAAAGTTTTTCTTGAATATTTTCTTCAATTTTAATATCCATTTTTATTTTACAAAAATTTTATAAACTGATTTGGCTTGATAATAAAAAGCTGGAGAAAAATTGAGAGGAAATAAAGAGAAAGATTAAATTTTTGAGAATGGGCGGAATGAATAACTCTTGCCTTTTCTTCCCTTGATATACGGTATAACAAAACTTTTGTTTTCCTCCATCAACAAATTATTTTAGAAAAATGGCCAGAAAATGAAGAAACAAAGCCATATACTAAACGAGACTAATCGCTTCTTTTTCTCGCTTTTAGTTTTTGGAAAAGGAAAGGGTATTTAGTTTTGCCAGACACTTGAGAGTGGTTTTTGTATGTATATATTATTGTTTTAGATATAATCCTCCAAAATTCCATTTATAAGTATTATAAATATGAATTTATATTTTCAAAATCCCATATTAGATTAATATAATTTTAGATAAAAGAAAAATTTAATTTTAAAGTTGATTTGGAAGATTCTCAATTTTTCAATCATTAATAATTTTAATTCTTTTAAGGCAAAATGTATGGGTTTTTTCTGATTTTATAGCTTCCGATCGTCCAATTAATCTGAAATTTCTATAGGAGATTTATAAATATTATTGGGCATTATATCCATAAAATCTTAAAAACTATTTCACGCTATTAGTTTTCATCGTACTTTTTTTCAAAAATGGGTGAGTACTGAGTTGAAAAGCAAAAAATAACATAGTCTGGTAACTATGTATGTACTTCTTATCCGCGATAAAACAGCTTACAAATCAACAGGAAATTGGTTTAAGTATTTTAAAAAATATTTTCACAACTTTTGTCATACAGAAAAAATTATCTTTGAGGCCATTTGAAGCCTGTAAAAGTTCATACAATATACACTTAATCTCAAAAAATTTTATTTATGAAACTAAATTTTTAAAACTTTAAATTTGATGTAAAAAGAGTTAAAAGCAATTTAAATAAAAAGAAGAAAAATTACAATTTGCAAATTAGAAAAATGTTAAAAATACAAGTTTAAAAAGTTTTTTTTGTAAAATCAACTGCATATCATGTTTCAAAAACATTTAATTTTCTTCAACCAATTTCTCAGCTTCTAAACAATCATTCATTTTATAATATTCATCATTAAATAAAAACATCCATTGCTGCTTTTCTTCAATTAATTCTTCAAATTTATTTTCACAAACTTTTTTAATTTCTCTTGATTTTAAATTATTTATTAAATTATTTTTTGTTTCTTTTATTTTCTCCAAAATATTCCCTTCACTATTTAATTCAAAAAAATAATTTCCATTATGAATTAAAGGGGTTAATGTTGATTTAAAGCAAATAGCTTCTTCAAAATTTATTTCCTCTTTATAGGAAAGTCTCCCTGTAAAAAAGAATTCTTCCTCATCAAAATTTTTCTGAGTTTTTGAAACATAAATTTCAATTTCATATCTAAATAAATTTAATATTTCAATTTCTTCTTCAAACTCCATAATTTCAAATATTTTTGAAATACATTTTTCATTTTTATTTTCCAATACTTTAACAAAAAATAATAAATATTGTAGATTATCTAAAGATTTTAATTTAATTAAATAATTTCCTTCTTCTTTAAATTTTATACAAATTTTAATAAAATTTTCTTTTTCAATATTTAAAAACATTTTTAATTTAGTTAATTTTGTTTTTTCCATATCATCATTTCCAATTTCTTTTTTTGGTTCAAAATATACAGAATGACGAAATAAAGGTTTAATTTCTAACACAGCCTATAAAAATTAATTGAAAAATAAAATAAACTTTCCAAAACTTTTACAAATTTAAATAAAATTGTAAAAAGTTTAAAATAAATTTTTTACAATTTGTAAAAGCAATTAAATTGAATATAAAATATTTATTTAAAGCAGAGATGTTTTTATAAAAAAACAAACAATTCCATAAGAAGATGGCAAATTTTTTTCAGGTTTACTAATACAAATTAAAATTCCCCTTCTATAATTATTATTTAAATCTTGAATAAATTGAAATTTAATTATTTCATCGCCATTATCTATCCTGTCTTCCAAGAAATAAATTTTTGTATTTTCATTTTTCTCGCAAAATTCATTTTCTGGGGTTATATAAATTTGTTTGTATTTATTTAATATTATTGAATTAAATTCAATTGAAATTTTTAACAATTTTTGATCATTATTTTCGTTAATATAAATATTTTTTAAATTAAAATATTTACTATTTCTTATAATAATGAAATTTTGATTATTTAATGGTTTAATAGTTGAAAAAGAAAAATTAAAAATTAATAAAAAAATAAATTGAATAATCATTTATTTTTGTTAAATATTATTTAATTAAAGAATTTTAAATTATTTTTTCTAAATAAAATTTATTTATTAAATGAAGGATTTTAAATGTAAAAAAATGTTTTTAAATATACAAAAATGTACAGACAAAATATTGACATGTATTTCAAAAAAATATTTAAGAAATAATGCCCTTTATCAATTTATCTTTTCTTAATTCAAAGCGAATAGGGCAAGTTTTTTAATTAATAAAATTATTACATAATTTATTTTTAAATTAAAAGTGCTTGTATTTCTTGTTTAGCTGTTTTATAAGTTATTTTAATTAATTAAATTAAGCTCCGTTCTAATGACAGAATCTCAAACAATATCTTATGATGAACTACTCATATTTTACTTTGACTATTTTTTTAAATTCATAAAAAAATATTTTGATTAATGGGATAAGTAATGGGAAAAATATGTATTTGATGAATATTTGTACTAAATAAAATTAAATAAAATTTATTTTATAATCAGAAATTTGTTATTAAAATCTCTAAGTTAATTAAATTAAGAATGTTGAAATGGAATTAATGTTTTAATGTAAGAGAGATAATAAGGTTTAAAAATGTTGATATGGATTATATGTTATAATGTATCTGATACAGTGCTGTCAAAGTTCCAAAATTTCTTCGGAACTAGTTCCAGTTCTTCAAAACTAGTTCAAGTTTTTAATCTTAGTAGTTCCAGTTCCAGGTTTTTAATTTTTGTAGTTCCAGTTCCATTTCCGGAACTCCATTTTTGAAATCCCTTAGTTCCAGTTCTGGAACTAGTTCCAAGCTAGTTCCAAGCATTTACTAGTTCCGTAGTTCTAGTTACAAACTAGTTCCAAATAATAGTTCCGTAGTTCTAGTGGAACTAGAACTAATTAGTTCCGGAACTGGAACTTTGACATCATTGTATCTGATACAGTGTTAATGTATCACTCTTCTTAAGTTGTCGATTTCCGTAGAAGCACCTGCTGTTTGGAATTGAACCAAAACTTTTTTTGTTAATATCAAGAAAAAGTCCTCCCACGAGAAGATCAGCAAATATAACTGAACGTTACTCTCCGAACCTTATGCGAAAGCATTAGGAAGACATGCTGTTGGAAGAGCCAACCGGCCAGAGTTTCTGAACTCAGTTAGTACAAACACAAGTCTCCTATATATTTTAGGGAGTCTCTTTAGAAAACTATTCTGTTGCATTTCAAGTATAAAAATCTACATAACTAAATATAAAACCTCAAAAACTATTTAAAAAGTACAAACTTAAATAAAAGTCCATTTATTAAAAAAATTTAAGATTAAATATAAAATAATTGTTTTTAATTTATTTTTTGATACTACGATCTCTTGTACATAAAAAATGTAAAATAATAATAATAAAAATCAGAAGAATATTATATAATAAAAAATATTTTAACGAAGAAAAGCACCAAAATCCAACAAAAATACAATTAAAAACCAGTTTTTAGAAATAGGCATTTTAAATAAAATTGACAAAAAAGGATATATAATAAATGGGTATTTTGTCATAATTATGAAAATTTAAAAAAAATATTTTTTATTTTCTTTTAAATCCTAAAAAATTTCTCTCTCATTCAATTCCATTCCAAAAGAATTGTTTATTTTTAATCCGTTTAAACAACAGGAATCCAATGGCTGGCATTTGGTGGTAAATAGAGAAGAGTTTGGCGAGGAACATGCCGTTGCTGTTTAGAAGTTGTTGTTGTTTGTTTGAGAGAGGTTGTTGGTGGCCTGTTTGGGGGTTTCTGAAAAAATAAAATGTTTTGAAACAAATACTTAGGTATTTAACAAAAGAGCTAGGCAGGAGTTAGGTGACGGTAATTGCCCATAGCACCGTCTACCGACAGTGATATATTGGTATTCCGTATCGGTATTATGATTGGAATAGGGGATAAAATTCCGGACTACATTTAAAATCAAATTCCCTACCAAAATAGTCACAACGGGAATAGAATTGTTTTGTTGTTCAGTCGAAACATTTTTTGTTGTTGAAATTTCTTTTTCCTTTTCTTCTCCTTCTTTCTCTTCCTTATTTTCTTCATTATTAACAGTATCAACAATCTCAACATTAAATTCAGGCACTACTGTTTGTTCATCTTTTTCTTGATCCAATTCTTTATTATTTACTTGTTGTTGTTCAATTTCAATAGAAGAAGAGGCAATTGTTGATATTGGAGAAACACAGAAAACTTGGGAATTTCTGAAAAGTTTAATTAATTAATCCCTTATTCTTCTCCCTCCACTAACCTATTAGTATGTCTATTATTTTGCCAATGCCTATTATTATTGAAATGATGATGTTTGCGGTGACGATAATTGCCAATAGCATTATTTCCGTAATAAATAACATTTGAACCATTAACGCCTTCAAATTGTTGATAATAGAGCATTAAATTAAAAGAAAGTTGTTGGCGAAGACGATCAACCTTTAAAATTAAAATTTAAAAATTATTGAGGCCTAGGGATTTTTTATTGGGGATGAAAGGCTTGGGAGAAAATTGTGTTTTTATTCAGTGAATAATAATTCAAAAAATTTATTTGTGCCCCTTTTAATTAAAAATTTATCCTACCATAGATAAAGTTTGTCGTCGTTCATGTTGCATCAAACAAACAGTTGAATCTCGAATAACACAAAATAATTTGTGGAGATAATCGAATTTTAACTAAAATAATTAATTTTATTTTTTAATTAAATAGAGGAAATGACGTGTTTTAAATAAAAAATTGTTGTTCCTTAGTTTAGTGCCATAAAAATATATTGACGTAAAACTACTAAAACAAAACACCCCCTCTCTTTTTTTCCTCAAACATGCCTTAAAGGCAATTTTCTGCAAGCATTGTTTGTATGTTAATTTACTGAAAATATACTCTATTTATTTATTTAAAATATATTTATTTGACAAACAATTCAAATTAACAAAAGGATTTTTTGGAAAAAGGAAAAGTGCAAACGGAAATAGAAAAAATTTCAATTTTAAACAATTAAAATAAAAAAAACTTACATCATCCTCATTGCCAAAATGATTCTGTAAATAATTGAGCAACTTCATTTCCTGCACATTAATGTCAGGGAAGTCAATAAAGAAACGAGAACACATGTACTGAAAAAATTTGAATAATTAAATATTATCAACTAGATTAATTGGCACAACTTATAACTACACAGATAAACACAATTAAAAGTAAGGGAACTTTGGGGGAGCAAAATAATTGTGAAGATTTTTAATTTTAGAATAATCTTGGCGATTTTATAAGAGCCAAAAGCAATGAATGATTAATTATTTAATCAATTTTCCCACCTTTTCCATATCTCTACAATTCGAAGTAGCAGAAAATCCTCTAGTTAATAAATGGCAATATTTCAACAATCCACCTCCTCTAATTTCTTCAGGATTTCGAGTATCAATAAGTCGTTTATTTAAATGGAATAAAGCTTGCATAAAATCTCCATACATCGATTCTGCCCGAATAACCGGTCTATTCTCGTTTGGATTTTCAATTAAAGGGTCCAAAGTTATTTGGAAACTATCAACAGAAAATTCAAAAGCACGGCGCATTCTTTCAACAAATTTAAGTTCAATACATCTTTAAAAATAAAAATATTTTAAAATCTATTCCCTCTCTAAATTACCTTCCATAATCATTATGTAAAGAAAACAATGACCAACGATCACTATCCGTTACTTTAACCATTTTTCTAATATAAACATCTCTTAAAGTCTCCGGTGTTATTGCAGATTTATTTGTTGTACTTGACGGCATCATTTGAAGTAAAGCATCAAAAACTGCTTCTCGAACCCGTTCAAAATCAGAATCACGCTCCAAAGCAATTGGAAAGATTAAATCGACATCAGAATAGGGAAAAGAATCTGATTGGGCAAAAACAAAAGAAGCGGCCCCTCCATTTAATTTAACGTGCAAAAGAGGCAAACCAGCATCTCGAAGCTTCCTAAAAAAGAAAAAAAATTATTTAAAATTTTTAAAAGAAAATTTATTTTGCCTCGAAATTATTCCAATAAGTGCATGAAGTGGAATTTCCAATGTTGGAAAGTTTTCACGTCCATGTATTTCCACAACTTGGTCAAGAACAGAACGAAGTCGATCAACCTATTTTGAATTTAAAAAAATATTAATAATTGGAATTATTAATTAGAATTATTAACACTATTTCACATCACGCCTCTTTACTTTAAATGTTAGCTAGAATATATGGGGATATGAACTATAAAAGTTTTCACGTCCAGAGGAAGATCCTTTCTACATAACTCTCCAAAGATAATTTTTAAAAATTTAATTAAATTACCTGTCTAGGATTTAACGAAACAACGGCAGTTGGTTGACGAGGAGGATTATTATTGTTGTTGTTATTATTATAATTTCCCCTTCCATTACTATTGCTGTTATTACTTCCCTCACGATGATGCCGATGAAAATTATGATGCCCCCCAAAAGTTGCAGAACGTCCCCCCTCCCTTCCAAAACGTAAAGGAATATTTTTATTTTGTTTGTTTGTGTTCGGTTGATTTTTATTATTACACAAACACTGCATTTGTGCAGCCGAACAACATTCTTGTTGTTGTTTGTTTGTGTTTAAGCAAACATTATTTCCCTCATTCATATTTGTTTTGTTTGTTGTTGAAGTAATTGATGATGGCATATTTTGGTAATTATTTATTTGTTTTTTTAATTTAAAGAAAATAAAAATATTTTTTATTAAATTATTTGATGATATGTTTTTTTAATTGTTTTCTTTTTTTGTTTTTGGTTTTTAAAAATAATCTTAAAAATAAAAATTAAATTATAAATTAATTAAATAAACAAAAATAAATCAAAAATCAGTCTGTTTATCAGAAATAGACATAGACTAGACTATAATAAATAAAATAAACGTGGCGCCATTCCTCTCTAAGATATGAAAGGCGCCGAGAGGCAAAAAGACTTTGTTGTAGTTTCGATATGGGCCAATGTTTAAGGAATTTTAACAACTAAAAACTTAATAAAAATTGGAATTTATGAGGTAGAATGAATTAATATATTTCATTACATTATAAAATTTTTGAGATAAATTTTAAAAATTAAAAAATAATTTAATGAAAAGTATGACATTTAAAAGTGATTAAAAATTATTTTTAATTTGGATGCTTACTAAAATAAAGTATTAAAACAAAAGTATAATGAATCATGGAATTTTTTATTTTTCAGAATTTCAAATATATGTATTTATAAAATAAATTTATAAATACATAGTATAAATTAAAAGATAATTTTTTGGAAAATAAAAAATGTTTATTATAGTTTATATTTCAATTGTAAAAGAATAAAGTCTTTAATTTTCTAGTAAAAAAATAATTGAGACATTGAAAAGACAACAACAACCTTTTAAAAAAAAGATATATTAAATCTTGTAAAAATTTAATTAAATTTATTTTTTATTTTTTTACAAGAAAATGGAAATAAAAGGAAAAAAGAATAAGGAATCTGGAAGTAAATGCATGAATGGGTAAATGAGGAAGGGAATGGGAAAGAAATGGGGGAAAGGTAGGTGGGAGGGAAGGATGGGGATATATAGAGGAAGAAGATAGAGACAAGGAAATGGATATATATGTAGATGTGGAAATTTTTTTAGACAAAAGAAAAGGAAGGAAAATTTTAAAAATTAATTTTTAAAATTAAAAATTAATTTTTTTTGATTATGTAGACTGCAAAAAAATTTTTTTAACAATATTCATCCCAAAAATTAAAATATTTTTCTACAAAAGTTTATAAAAAACTTAAAAATATTTTTTTGTTTCTTCCTCTAATTTAAACAAAATGAAAGTCTTAAAAAGCTGCTTGTAAGTCCAATGGTTGCGCTGTTGAGTAAAAAGGAGAAGAAAATAAATGAGTGGTTGAAATGACGTGTGCCGCGTGCTTATTCTCCATTTACCTCCTCCTTCCAGCCAGCCTCATTTCCCCCTCCCTTTCATTCCTTCTCTAGAACATTCTAGTATTTTTTACCGCCCCTTTCCGTTTTTAAGCCGATGCATGGAAACGTCAACAACTCTAAAACAAAATGACGAATGGATATATTTATTTATTTAGATTTATTTTTTGACATCAGTTTTTTCTAAAATTAAATATAATTAATTAAAATAATAAACAAAAAATACAAAAAAAATATTTAGATAAATCTTTTAAATTATTTAAAATTACCCCCTTATTCCCCTGATAAAATTTAGACAGATAAGACTTTAATATTAAAAAAATAAAAAGATTTATTTAAAAAAATTTAGAAATATTTATTAAAAATATTAAAAAAATATTTATTAAAATGCGCAACAGCCAAAGAGTAAATAAATAAAGAAAAAAAGGAAAAAAGTGTTTGGCTGCTACGTCTTTTATTACTTGAAAAATAAATGAAAATTAAAAAATGGAAGGGCCAGACAAATATTGTGGAAATGCCGGAAATGAAGGCGAAAAAAAATGTTAGTAAAATTAGCAGCAGCCACGGCAACGACAAATAAATAAATTGGGGGAAGAGAATTGAACAAAAAATAAAGATTTTCTTTAAAAATCATTTTAAAAAAGTTCTAGATATTTGATAAAACTATTAAGAAATAATAATTTTAATTAATTTTTTTGTTTCGAAACAATTTTAATTAAATCAGACATTTAATTAAAAAATAAAATATTTTAATTTAATTAAATAACCAAAATAATAATTTTAATAAATCTGATCTTTAAAAATTTAAAAATCAAAAGCAAACCGATAAAAAAAGAAGAAATTTTTGAAAATTAATTTTGTGAATTAAAATTTAGAAAAAAAAATATTTTTAAAAAATATTTTAATAAGGTTATTTTTTATGAATAATAAAAATATTTTGAAGAATGCATAATTTAAAGATTATTAAAAATAGTGATGCTATTAAATAAAAATTTAAAAATAATTTTATTTTATTTAAAAACTTTTATTAAAATTTATTTTTGGATGTTTTTAAATTAAAAATAAGTCAAAAAAAGATTAAAGAAAAACGTCACAAACAAAAGGGAGGCTCTCCTCCCCCCATATGTTCTTCCCCCCCCCCCCCCCCCCTTCCTTTTCCCAATTTTCTATTATTATTTTTTGAGTATATTCCAATTTTGGTATATTTTTGTTTGAAAAAGGAGGGAAAAAATAAATATTCTGAGAAAAAAAAGATAAAAAAATTAAGAGAAAATTTTTTGAGTGGGTGTTAAATGGGAGAGAGAGGGAGTGAGGGAGGAAAGGAGGGAAAAAATGGGTAAGTTTTGAGGGAAAGTAACAAACAAAAGAAAAAATAAATGACGTATTTATTTGTGCCAATAAAATGGCAAAAGTAGAAACAAAAAAATTAATTTTTGTTATTTATGCAAAAGCTTTTTTTGTTTAGAATTTTTGTTTTTAAAAATAAAAGGTCAGAAAATGTTTTTTGTTTTTGTTTTCCTTAAAATGTCAATCCTTTACATAAAAGAGCACGAAAATATTTAATATACTAGAAAATATTTTGAGAATAAAAAAAGAAAAAAAATAAAATTAAAAGGTGAATTTAGATAAAAATAAAAATATTTTTAGTAAAAATGTTTTTATTTAAAATAATTATTTTAAAAATATGTAGCAGGGATCCTGCCGTCCCTATTTCCGAAAATCGGGTATTTATTTTTTCTATCGAATCCCGATTCCCGAAATCGGGAATTTTGGTTTTTTGTCGGCAGAATCCCTAATATGTAGCTATAAGTATAGTTCAATAAATCTAAATATAAATAATGCTGAATTTTTAATTTGAAGAAATATTTAAATTAAATAACTAGAAAAGTTAATAAAATTTATTAAAAGAAAATTGTGGTCTAAAAAATAAAAATAAATTTTTATTTATTTTTACTCGTCATCTTTAAATTAAAAATATTTTTTATTGAAGGCAAGCATTGTTATTTTGTTAAAAAATAATTTAAATAAAAGGAATATCCAAAAAATTGTCTAAAAATATTTTTAAATAAACGAGGAAAGAGGTAAATTAAATTTATTTTATCCAAAAAAGTATCAATTTCGTCAGTCCAAAAATTAAAACTTTTTTCTTTTGTTTGTCTAATAATTAAAAAAAAGAAGGAAGTAAATTTAATTTAAATTATATATTTAATTTTTTTAATTGATTTTATTTTTAGGATTAAATTAAAAATGAATTTAAATTTTTAAAAAAATTCTTAAAAATTATTTTTAGATTAAGTTCAGGTTTATTTATTTGTAACCCCCCAAATAAATATATTATTTTATTTTCTTATAAAAAATATCTAACAATTAAATAGCCAATAATTTATTTTTATTATTTATATCTACTACACATTTATGTTAATTTTAAACTATTTCCGGTGAAAAATAAAAAAAACAAATTAAAATACGTAAATCTACTAGGTAATTAAAAAACAAAATGAACGCAAATAATTATGCAAAACACAAAAAAATATTTTTTTAATAATTAAAGTATTTTAAATAAATAAAATAGTTCCCAAAGGAATAAATAAAAAATTATTAAATATTAAAATTTTTCTCATCAGAAAGATAAATAGTGTCAGAATATCAGGCATAAAGGCCGTTGTAGTAGATATAAAAAATAATTTAAAGGTATTTTTCAATGATAAGAAAATATTTAAGCAATTTCTCCATAAATTTATGATTTTTGGTAGCCAATTTTAGAGTTAAAATATAAAATTCGGAATTTTGAAATTTTTAAAAACTAGGAGTCAGAAAGGAGCAAAAAGTCGGAAATTGATCACCCAAGCAAAAGTCAAAAATCCTTCCTAGTCTCTTAACAGTGGAGAAGGATTTAAAAAATCCTCAATTTAAATCTTTAGGCCTAAATATTAATTAATATATTTTAATTATTCGCTTTTAAGAGAGCTATTTTATTGAGGGATAACTTCCTCAATAAAAGAATTTTTGTCTGTTTAAAAAACGTGGTTAGAATTCTTTTGAATAAAACGTGAATAAAGCAAGAATAAAAAGAGGGGATTTAATTAAATATATTAATTAATTTATATATATAAAAGGGCCACACATTAAATATTTTAAAAAGTTTTTTTGAGGAAGTCAATACCAAAAAGAATATTTTATATATAGTTTGTTTAACTGTAAATAAAATAAAAAAAATTCTAAATAATTTTCTCTCTCTTATTCATTATTTATTCCTGCATTAAACGTTGACGCTGCTTAAAATTGCCGCACGTCAATTAATTTGTCTGATAGTCAAATTATTTTAGAAAAAAAGGAAAGGAAGAGGACTTTTGAGAGTGAAGCTTTTTTTTGGAAAATTATTTTAGAATATTAAAAAGATGAATAAATAATTGAAAAAAGAGGAAGATTTTTTGAGAAAATCTTTGTATACTATTTTAGATTTAAAATAGAAGGGGGGTGGGGTGGAGTGAGGGGGAGGACATGAATTTGAATTTTTTCAAAAGTTTAGTTCAAAATGGTCGAAATATTAAAAAAATTAAATTAAAATACATATATAGAATTTTATAAAAAAAAATTTTTTCGTTTGTCAAATACCTCTCAGCGTTCAAAAAATCTAGCAGTTTTGTAAGGGTGTTAGAAAAATGAAATAGAAAAATGAATATAAATATTTTCATTCCTATAAATATTTTCATTCCTATAAATATTTTCATTCCTATAAATATTTTCCATTCCTATAAATATTTTCATTCCTATAAATATTTTCATTCCTATAAATATTTTCATTCCTATAAATATTTTCATTCCTATAAATATTTTCATTCCTATAAATATTTTCATTCCTATAAATATTTTCATTCCTATAAATATTTTCATTCCTATAAATATTTTCATTCCTATAAATATTTTCATTCCTATAAATATTTTCATTCCTATAAATATTTTCAAAAAATAATCTCCATGGGAAATCACAAAAGACTGCGAGACGAATCGATTAGTTCTGTAAGTGAAACTGATAAAACACCTATTTTAACACAAACACAACTTGAGCAAATCACCCACAATGTTGTCCAACTTCTGACACCCATTATTGAAACAACAATTAAAACATTGTTTGAACAATTACACCAGAAATACAACAACAACCAACTCCCTTCGCAAACACAACAATCAACTTCTCGATGGGGATGCCCCCCTAATTCAATGCCACCAAAAATAAGACAAGCTGCGACAACAATTGAGCAACTCCAACAACCAAAATTTGACGAAAATTTAAAAGAGCTTTATAAAAAGAAGAGTTTTTATGCGGTAATTGAAAGGTTTCCAGAAATGGAAAATGAACAAGAAGACGTAAAAAATATTGAAAAAAATGTCCAAATAGTGGTGGATAACAAAAATTTTAAGGAAGATAAGACTTTTGCTGTTAAACGACATGGTGTTAAAAAGCAAAACAAACATCACCGCATCATAAAAGTAAAATTTTCTACACCATCAGCTGCACAATCGTTTATCAGTCAATACAGAACAATTCATCAACCAATACTAGGTGGGCATAGTCCCTTCGCAAGAAGGGACTTAACCCCACCAGAACTCCAACTACAAAACTACCTTAAACAGCAGGTTAAGGAGATTAATGAAAAAAATGGAAATGGAACTGCCTGTTATCGTAATCTTAAAATTTATTATAAAAAGACAGTGAACACGGGCTAGGATTTAGGGACCTCACAAAAAAATGGTAAAAAATTAAACAATTTAAAATGCTTACTTTATAATATTCGCTCCATTAACTCACTAAAAACTGCATATAAATTGGTCGAATTAGAAAATTATCTGACTAAAAATGAAATCCACGTAGCATTTTTATGTGAGACTTGGTTAAATGATAATATATCGGATCAGACCCTTTTCCTATCAGATAGTTATAAATTTTTAAGAATAGATAGAAATACTTCACGAGGGGGCGGCGTAGGTATATTTTATAAAAAGGAACTAAAAATTATCAGCATTCCAACACTATCATTATCCTTATATAACCAAGAACTTCTTACTTTCGACATCTACTCAGACTTTAAGAGAATTAGGTTCCACTTACTTTATAGACCACCAAATACAAGATTAATCGATGATAAAAAAATGTGGGGATTACTAAAGCAAAAATACAAAAGTGAACTTTCTAATATTGTATTAGGGGATTTAAATTTTCCAAAAATAAACTGGCAAGAGAGTGCGCTTCCAAAAGATAAACAAAGCTTATATTTTTACAATACAATCAACAAACTAAATTTACATCAAATAATAAAGAATCCAACAATGTATAATAGTGCCCATACATTAGATTTAATTCTCCAAAATAAACCATTAGTTACAGAATATAAAGTTATCGATGATTTAGTTGTAAGTGATCACAAACCTATAGTATTTGAAATAACTTTTCCTATCGAAAAGGTAAAATCTAAAGAGAAAAAAACAGTATTATTATTTAAGAAAGGAAGATATAAAATTATTAATTGGTATTTAGCTCAATATGACTGGTACAATCTATTTAATAACAAAAACCCCTCGGATATGGCCGAAATACTGAATTCAATAATAACACAAACAATTCAAAAATTCATCCCTTTTAAACAATTTGGTAAAAAAATACCCATAAAATATCCCAAGGAAATTAGAGAAACTATCAAACAAAAAGCTAATGCATGGAAAAAGCTAAAATTAGGTGAGATTAGTAAAGAAAATTACAAAAGTCTCGAAATTAAATGTAAATTACAAATAGAAAAGTATAAAAATGATTATCTATCTAAAAAGATAGGATCAGGGCATATAGGGGAAATACATAAATTAATGAAAAGAAATCGACTAAACTTCTCTGGTATACCAATACTTAAGGAATCTGAAGAAAGCGACCCTATAATATTAGACACTGACAAGGCTAAAAAATTTAGAGCAATTTTTGCAGAAGTGGTTTGCGGAAATACAAACAATAAACAAGCAAGCTTCGAAGCTATGGATGAACGTTCTGAAGAAATTATATTTGAACCATATATAATAGAAAAGTTACTCAAGAAGCTCCCAAATAAATTATCCCATAGCCCTGAGAATGTCAATCAATATTTCCTAAAAAAATGTGCTACCCCATTAGCTCTTCCTCTATCAATTCTATATAACAATACATTTAAGACCGGAATAGTCCCTGCATTATGGAAAACAGCACACATTAAACCTATATTTAAAAAGAAGGGTTCAGTAAACGACCCAAAAAATTATCGTCCAATTGCATTAACATCCCCCATCTGTAGAGTTTATGAGCGCCTGATAGCGAATAAATTATTAGAACACCTTAATAAACATAAAATAATTGCTGAAGAACAATTTGGTTTTTTACCTAAAAGCTCGTGTACACTCCAAATTTTATTATCAATGCAGGACTGGTATACCTCACTTGATAGGAAATTAGGTACGGACATTATATACTTTGATTTTGAAAAGGCCTTTGATAAAGTAGATCATGAAATACTCATAAGTAAATTACAGGAAATTAAAGTAGATAGTTTAACAATTAGATGGATAGCAAATTTTCTCACTAATCGATCTCATATTGTGAAAATAGATGAGAATTACTCTCAACCATTTTTGCCTAAAACAGGAGTTCCCCAAGGGACTGTATTAGGACCATTGCTGTTCCTAATATATATAAATGACTTACCCAAACATATCCCAAAAAATATAAAGGTAAAATTATATGCAGATGATTTTAAGCTTTATTCTGAAATCAAAACTGAAAAAGATTGTTTAGAACTACAAGGAGCTATAAACAATGCATATAGATGGGCAAAAAATAATAAGCTGGAATTCTCTATTTCAAAAGTTAAGGTTCTAAAAATATACAACAAAATTAAGTTTAATTATGAGATTAGTGGTGAAAAAATCGAAGAAGTTAATAGCATAAGAGACTTAGGGATATACATAGATAACAAGCTTAAATTTGATCAACACGTAGCTAAAATTACTAAGTCCTCATTTATAAGGCTAAATAATATTCTAAGAATATTACCCAAAACATTACCAATAGAAACATACGTAAAGGCATTCAAAACATATGTTAGACCAATTATGGAGTATTCCACAGAAAGTTTTAGCCCTAAATTAGAATATCTTAATAAACAATTAGAAAGACCACAAAGGAGCTTTACAAGAAAAGTTTTAAGATATAAATTCAAATACCAAAAAATAGGCTATAACGAAAGACTAAAAAGATGCAAACTCCCTCCAACTAATATCCGTCGTATAAGAACAGATCTTATGACAACCTTCAAAATTATAAAGGGGTTCTATAAAATAAAGCCTGAGCAAATGTTTTCAAAACCTAATAGAAATAATCCGCGCATGCACAGATATCAAATATTTAAAAAACAAGCTCACAATAACCATTTCTTTTCTCATAGAGTCATAGATAGATGGAATAAACTTCCAAAAAATCAAATTGAAAAAATCGATACTATTCCGCAATTTAAAAATTTTTTAGACAATATATTAAACACTGAAAATCTTAATTTATAAGCAAAGAATTAATGGAGTGTAATAACAACAAAACCCTTCCCCACGTGTTCACTCTCTTACTTAACTCCTAACATTTAAAGAAGTTTAAATTTATTACGAATATTTTTTTTTACCATGACTTATTATATATATATATTTTTTTGATTGATACTTGCCTTTATACATTTAATTTACATGTAGTTTTTTTGTGAAGTCCATTTATATTTATTTTTTTAGCTTAACATTTAAAAAAATGTTTTATTGTATCCCATTTATTTGTATTTGTATAAGTTACTATCTCCATAAGTGATCCCTACGGATCCAGGAGTTTTTTTATTTTATTGTTTCACATTTATTTATTTGTGTCGATAAAGAAAAAAAAAAAAAATGTTCTTATTAGAAAATAATTTAGCTTCTTGATAAATAATTTTTTAAAGAAAAGTGTTCAAAAAATCCCTTTATATATAAATAATCAAGGAACAGAATATCCGTGTTCACCCGATTTAAAAAGAGCCGCCCAAGAGGCGTCAACTAAAAAAAAGTAAAAATTATTATCAAAATTATTTGGGATATCTTTGTTAAAGATTTTTTCTTAATAAATTACTCGTAAGAATGTGTGAAACAAGCATTTCTTTTTATAAAGAACGGCTTTCCCTCCTCTCTACTCTCATATTTTCTTTCATAGTAAAATCACCCCAAATCTAAGTGATTGAACGATATATAACAAAAATAAAGAAAAAATCTTTTCTTTTTTAACAAAGAATTTTTGACAACAATCAATCCTAAAAACAATTGGTTTATTCGCCCAACAAAAGGCGGAAAAATCCATTCTTTTCCGTTTATTAGGCCAAAAGTCAGGGGAAATATTTATTGGAGTAGTGGATATATATTTATTGGACTAAAGGTTAAAAAAGAAGTGAGGAAGGGGGGGGGGTTATTTAGAAATGTAATCCAATCCTTAATATTTTCTGTGAAAAGGGAAGCCCAAGAACATGTAATAAAAAGTGTTTCTTTTTATATAAAGTACTCTTTTTTAGTCCAAAGTTTAAGTAATTAAAGCTATAAATATTTGACAAAAATTGGTATATATGTATTTATAAAGAATGATTAATAAAATAAAATATAAATTTGAAAAATATAAATGACATTTAATTATTTTAATGACTCAAGAATGATTGAAAAAAAATTTTCAAAGTATAAAATTTTCAAAAATAGAAATTAAATTATAATTAAAAAATAATTGATAGGGTTTCCTAAATAGACCTTCCTTATAGTTCTAATCTCAAATTCCTTAAAATTACTTAAATATTTTCAGATATAGAAGGGATTAGAAAATAAGAGTGAGGGAAATTGTTTAAAAAAAATAAGGTATTGAAGCTTGTTGAACCAGAAAGTAAAACTTTATCCTATTTGGGCAATATTCTCAAGATTAGAATTAAGAGGATTAATTCATTTTCCCTTCCAAATTTCTAAGGAAATAATTATGATAATGACCAAATAGGGAAATCTTTTTTTTTTATTTTATTTTTAAAAATAAATGTTATTTATGATGTAGTAAATTTAGTATTTTTAATAAGATTTTTTAATTAAAGAAATATTTTTTTAATAATTTAATGAAATAAGACTAGTATTTATAAAAATAGGATAAATATATAAATAAATGTATCTCACCTTGTTCAAAAAATCTTTTTTTCCCAGTTAATGAAATATTTAGAAGATAAAAGTTGGGAAAATAATAAATAAATAAATAAATAAATATTCTTAAATAGTAAACAAACAATAAACAAAACGTTTAATCAAATCCCCCCTTCCCCTTTTAATTGATTTAGCTTTCCCTCTGTAGTTGTTAGCACATTCGAGAAGCTAAAAAGCAAAAGCTACACGTTATTTTGAAAGAATTATTTTCTGCAATTGTTTATTAAAAATAAATAGTGATTGGACTCCACTTTAGTTGAAAGTTATAAACAGATTAATTTAAATGTTTATAAACAAAAAAAATAAATTTATGGGATTCTTCAAAAAAATATTTTACATTGCAACTCGAATTCCCCTTGTCCAAAAGAATAAAAAAAGAAAACAATAAAAGTATTATAATAGCAGTTACACCCCTCAAAGTATTTTTTAAAACAAAAAAAAATAAAAAAATTAATGAACAAAATAATAAAAAAAAACAA